TGTACAATGGGGTGAGCGGGGTGCTGGCGTGTGCGTCCATGGTGAAGTTCGTCGGCGCCGGTGCGCGCGAGACATAGGAGGCGGAGAGGAGAGTGTGTGGCGCGCGCGGAAGCGGGCGCCCCAAATACACCGCGTGGGATAGCGTATCCGACTACGCGCCCAACTCGTTATAGCGCGCGCGCGGTTTTTGCGCGCCCGCTGGAGCCACCCGCTGCGTTGCACGCGCGCTAAAACTGCCTAATTTGCCGCGCGCGCTAGTTTAGCGCGGCTATTGGAGATGCTCTTATGGCGGCGACTCCCACATGCAATGAGGGTCTCCGTGCAGGAGGGTGCTCTATGGTGCGCCTCTGCATTGTGAATTGTGATGTTCTTCGACTCCTGCCGGTGGCACACAGGCGTCGTGGTGGTGGTCTCGGCCGCGCGGCGCCATGTGGTCTCCGATGTGCGTTGGCTTTCGATTACGTTGATGATGGAGTGTCGCGGTTGGGTCTCCGCTGATCAAGACCATTCGATTACATTGACGGTGCCTTTTTATGGCCCTCCTTGCATAAATAAGGGGCCTGTTTGTAATTTTATTTTTCTTGGGTCTTGCTGTCAGATGATTCTCAGTGTAATTGCTTGACAATTAATAAAGCATCTGGAGCCTTCGAGCCCCTTCTGTGTTCAAAAAAGAAAGGGAAACACTTCCTATCGTACGTCCTACGAAACGAAATCATCAGACCACTCGAGCCATTGATTCGCGTTTGATCGCACGGTCAGAGAGACCATGCAAAATCCCCTTCTAGCCTCCTGTATTTCACGCAGACAAATTTCCATAATGCTTGCTCATTCAACTCAATCTAAAATCCCATCTCTCTCTCTCCTACCCTCCGACCCCTACCCCATATCCGTCGAGGGGGTTAGGATCCTCTGCAGTACTGTATGGTGTTGTATAGTCACCGCCATGTAGGACCTGACCCCACATGTCATCGACACTACAACATCATACGGTACTGCAGAGGATCTCAACCCCCGTCAAGGACGGCATCGACTGTGCAGCCTGTAGCCCTGTACTCTCTGCCAGCGCCGTCCAGCTTGGAACCTTGCAGCGCCCCACTTCTCGTTGTGCCCCCCGCGCCTCCGCGCATGCCGCCGT